TATTTTTTATCTAAAAATTATTTTAGCGTATTGGTGAAATTTTTCTGATTAAAATGAGATCAAACACGATATAATTTGAACAACATTTAATTATTAATACTTATTGATTTGTCGTCCTTATCTTCGTTCGGTAAACAACAAACGCGGGCGCGAGCTCGAAAAGAGTGTCCCTGCTTCCCAAATTGTCTTGTTTAGATTTTGTGCTGGTAGACACTGAAAAACATTACTGTATTGTTTTGTTGTTATTGTTTATGAGTTTACCTGCATCGACCGCTGTTGGTCATTAGCCAAGGATTTACTGTTTAAGGTGGCTTCCAAACCATCATCTGTAATGTTTTTACTTGACATATCGGTTCTTTCGTCCTTAGATGGGGCAAATTAAACGTGTTTGTAAGGCAAATTTGTGATAGATGGTATTCGTTTAGTAAAAGCAGATTATTTTAACGATCTTTGCTTGAATTATGTCACAAGTATAAATTGTAATATTCTTGTAATGACAAAAGGATGATCATGCACTTTGGATCATTATATTCATTTTACTTTCTCTTGTTTTTATGCAGTAAAGAAAATATTTCATTCTGTATCAAATAATTTTAATGAGGCTTATACAGGAAAAATCTTTGACTATATTGTAGTTTATTTAATAAAAAAGTGTATATACATTTCCTCCAAAAGGTCCTAAAAATATATCGTGATGCTTTTTGCTCTATCTCTTTTTAATATGGTTAATCATTCAAAAGGATATATTTCATGTCAGTTGCATGATTCATCTTCTATATTTTTCATATAAAGCTTATGCTTATAAATGATTTTGAAAATCCTTAAAATTATTGTTTATTTAAATTATTTCAAATCAATTTGATATCTTTAGAATAGAAAGTTTGCCCCTGTTAACGTTATTATTTATATTAGAAATAAAAATAGAGTAGAAAATATTTTATTAATTTGAAATTCTCTGTACATCAAATTATTTTGTCCTATATGTAATTTACCATGTCTTAAAAATTACAGTACATATTGATTGTTCTTTCTGTTCTTTTATTTGCAAAGTATGATAAACTAGAAGAGATAGTCTAAATATGGGCTAGCACTTTTATTTCAGGATTTATTGTCAAACCTGTGGATAATTTTTAAGATATAATACTTGATGTACTTATACCAATAGCATGTTTACTATATGATATGAAATTAAAATAATCTGAGTAAAAGCAACGTATGTTGCAAATTGTATATTTAAAATAAAAGGGAGAATTTTTAAAAAAGTGGTCTAAATATGAGCCATCTTTAAAATAATAGAAATGAAAAGTGAGAACTGCATATTTTCAAGTTGATATATTTAAAAACATGTTCAAAATGTAGATAAACTTAAATTTAAATGCTATTTGTATTATTTACAATCTATTTGCAATAGTAACAAACATATATATTTTTTTTAATATTCTATATATCTTTTTCTTTTGTCCTTCTTTTTAATGTTTTAGTATTTTTCTTATTACAATCCTCATAGGCACCGAATTGTAATATTGGCTAGCCCATATTAGCTTATATTATAGAGCTACCAACTTTGTAGCCCCTATTTAGATCATTTGGTCAGAAACACTTAGAGCTATGGTATTCATTACTAAATTTATACTAAAAAGAAACTTACAATGTCAGCAACGTAGTACTCTTAGTTAATTAGCTCTTAGTTTAATTGATTATTGCTTAAAAAATAAAACAAACTTACCTGAAAAATGTTTTAAAATAGCAAGATAAGAGAAATGACACATTTTGGTCATTTGGTTATTTGGTCATTGGTTATTTTGTTCATAAATCGTAGTTTCATCCTATTTTCAGTAGGGTGAAGCACCTAATATGATTCAATACTTCAACTAGCCCATATTTAGACCTCAGCCTATATTTAGATCATCTCCTCTATATAAACTGAAATCTTATCAAGTATAAAGATTTTGGCATGTGCAATAGCATTACATTTAAAATTATTATTCTATTAATTTCAATAAAATTTATGGAAAATACAATATTGTGCATAGTATGTATTTGTAATATAACTGAACTGATATACATTAACGAAGTTACTTTCTCTCTAAATTACTGTAATGAGTTTGATAGTCACGCTTATGCATAACGCCTTGCATAACATAATAATAACGCTCTAATGGTATTTCATATTCATCAGAATGCATGAAGGAAACAACCAATGTGGTGTCTTAATAGTGCTGGAAAAATTGTTAATGGAAAAAAGGAAGTATTAATATAATACGAGTTTATATTGTATTAATATTAATATTTTTAAATGAGTGGCTAAATTAATTATAAATTTTGTTCTAACTTTATATAAAGTGTTTGCGGTAAAATATTAGGTGAAGTAAAAAGTTCTGAGCTCTTTTTCGCTTTATTTCGACGATGAAATTAACATAGTTAGGATTATTCGATTTAGATCAAATATACGCCGCTTTGTTCGATAACTTTTGTCCATTTTGAAGGCAATTTCATAATTCCTATTGGCCAATTCTGGCCGCTTCTGGTCGATCGCCTGCTTCAGTCTGGTCAGTTGTTGACAATAGAGGTCCGAATTGAGTGTTTAGCCCGATAGGACCAAACACACAATAAAACCTTCTTGGCCGTTAATCCAGGCTTGGCGATCGTTTGGGGCGGCCCACCGCGATTGGACCACGATCTTTTTCGGCTGTTGTTCTCGTATGTGACCCATTTTTTATCGCCAGTCACCATCCTCTTCAAAAATGGGTCGATTTCGTTACGTTTCAACAAAGAATCGCAGGCATCAATTCGGTCCAAAAGGTTCTTTTGCGTCAATTCATGTGGCACCCATACATCGAGCTTCTTCTTGAGACCAGCCTTATGCAAATGGTTCCAAACGGTTTTCTGGCTAATCTTCAGTTCCTGGGCAATGGAATAAGTGCTCACATGCCGGTCCGACTCGACGATTTCCATGATTTTATCCACATTTTCGACGATTGGCCTACCAGAGCGTGCCTCATCTTCGACGTCCATATTACCAGAACGGAATCGTTGGAACCACCGCTTTGCTGTTGCATTCGATACTGTATTGGGTCCATAAACAGCACAAATTTTTTTGGCCGCCTGCTCCGCCTTTTCACCTTGGTCGTAGTGGTACTGAAGAATGTATCGAATTTTCTTTTTTTTACCTCCATTTTCGAACGCTGTAACACACAACTGGCCTCACCGAACACAAAACTGACAAAGAACTTTTTTGATGCGTAATATCACCTTGAAATCGCTGTATACTATGACTCGATGCGATGTGTACATCGTGAGATATGGCTCACTAAAGATGACTCCTTGTCAAGAGGAGAAACCACGTTTTCTCCATGTTCCGTCTCCCGAAACAATTAATCCTGGTGGTTCTGATATATTTTGTGCTTCTGCTGTTCGACGTTTTTCCTCAGTAGCCGCTTCGGACAATAATATAGAGCACACTTTCTCTGATGCGGTATGTAAATTTTTTATAATATCATTATAAACTGTCTTACTGGATATTTCCGTATGCCATTGTATCCGATGCCAAGTAACCTCATAGATACAACAATACGTCGATTTATTTCGTACGCATGATTTATGAGAGGACACGAATTTATATGTCGCGGTTTACAGTTTTCACAATTCACAACTAAATTGAATCCAAGTCCCCTAACACTTGTTTCACCAAAAGTAATGTTTGAATCACACGTTTTACACTTTATAATACTGCTTCAAGTTGTAAACAGTGATACAAATTCAATTATTCTGTATCCGTGGCTCGCACTTATAGGTACATACTTCCAACGAATTGCCAGTTAGTTTTCTAGCGGACGCACTTGTTGAAGCCGCTTTGCCTTCAACTTCATGGGGATTCTGTGGACGCTTACACGAGAAGTTGATGCACGCGAACCTTTTCTATTTATCCCTTTCGCCTTATCCATAACGAATACTTTTCACGGAACGCAAATCTCTATCGAAACGATGTACACTTCTACGCTGGCAAAACCAGAATGGCTACAAGAGTTTCGAATTTCTACTAACTAAAATGTTGAAAGCTAATTTACGAAAAGAGGGGACACATAATGGTAGACCCTTGTACCGTTAGAACCCTACACGCTTTGAACAATGAAAGACCCTCGGCCAAGGACCGATGTGTTACGGTACGCAGGTAGGTATACGGCTGGGCCCACATCGTTTGTACCCAAAAATAGGTTGTTTTATAGGCTGGGATCGTTTGCATCTTGTTTCCAAGACTTCAAACTACTATTTAAAACAAAAAAAAAGAAAAACGATTTTTTCAAAATTTCAAACTGTCCTACCCCCTTAAGATATTTATTAGGGGGACCGGAAAGTAATGTCGTTTTCTTACATTAAATTCAAACAGATAAATTCTTAACAAGTTTTTATTTCACATCAATGGTGTAATCACCCTCGTTATCAACAACCGTTTGCCATCTAGTGTGCAAATTTTCAATGCCGGATCGATAAAAATCAATTGGTTTTTGAACAAAATATCTGAAGATGGCATTTTGAATATCATCAAAATTTTCAAATTTTTTGCCATTTAGAAAGTGTTGTAGCGATCGGAATAAATGAAAATCCGGTGGTGCGATGTCGGGCGAGTATGGTGGGTGAGGCAGTACCTCCCACCCCAATTTATTAATTTTTTCCAGGGTTCGTCTTGCGCAGTGCGGTCTTGCATTATCGTGTTGGAGAATAACGCCTTTTCTGTTGACAATCGCTGGACACTTTTCAATTAAAGTCTGATTTACTCGATCCAATTGTTCACAGTAAAGGTCTGCATTTACAGTTTGTCCAGGTTTCAGCACTTGGAAATGCACGACCCCGCGTATACTCCACCAAACACACAAAAGCGCCTTTTTGGGGTGTAAACCTGGCTTAGCAGTACTTCGTGGCGTTTCATTCGGAGAGAGTCACTGCCTTTTGCGTTTTGGATTATCATAGAGGACCCATTTTTCATCTCCAGTGATCAAGGATCAAGCGATCGAAAAACGCTTTTGTATTGTGCCGTTGAAGCAATAAGTTGCATGTGGTGGATCGGTTAGATTTGTTTTCTTCCGACAGATTATGCGGGACCCAAACACCTGTTCTGCTTACTTTACCAATCTGCTGTAAATGTTCTTGGATGGTCGACCAAGGTTGGTTGAGAGTGCTTGACAATTCCTCGATTGTCTGACACGGATTTGCTTCCACTTCCGCTCTTAACATGTCATTGTCTAATGTTGTTGGTCTTCCTGATCGATACGAGTCGGAAAGATCAAAATTACCGGATCTGAACTTAGAAAACCTACCGCAAATGTTTTTGGTAGCAACTGTTGCGTTACTGCCCTTACGAAACTCAAAAAGCATACAATGTCGGATATGTACCTCTTCTGGTATTTGGCTGGCCATTTCACCCCAAATTGCAAAAAAAAAGTAATGTTTAATTGTTTACAAATAAACGAATCACTATAACCTTAAAATGTCTTTGGCACGACTTTGAAGAACACAATGAGCTAACAAATGACAATCAAACATTGGCATGCGCAGAAACGACATTACCTTCCGGTCCCCCTAATACATTTTACTTACATGTTCCGACATCACATGTCGTGTTCAAAATGATGGCCATTTGCATTGATGCAATGCTGAAGCCTCGTGATAAATGATCTGTACGCGTGTTCTATTTCCTGTGGCGTAATTAAAGCACATGCCGCAGTAATTCTTTGCCTCGTATCTTGTCGCGTCGTGGGTTTATCATTGTACACCTATACAATATTTTTTAATCTCCCCCATAGATAGAAATGTAATGGAGTAAGATCCGGAGAACAAGCTGGCCATTTTACGGTTCCCCTTCGTCCGATCCAACGTCGCGGAAATTTTAATTCTAGCGTTGCCCTTGCAATTATTATTATTATTAAATAATACAATTAACGGGCTATGCCCTTTTATACAAACTTATACTGCTAGTACAGACACATTTATACAATATTAATCTACATTTATTATACAATACTTCAGCCATTCTAAGGACTTGTTGAAGATTCCTTTTGAGGGTGGCTAGTGATACATTAAAAAGGTCTACTTCATACATAAGGGAATTGTATAAAGTAGAAATGCGATTTACTGGATCAGATATACTGTATTTCGATTTGTGCGTTGGAATGTGAAAAGTCGCTCTACTTCTTAAATGTCTAGATGGTGCGTAGAAATTTACAGATCTCAATAGTGATGTAGTACAATCAATATTATTATTTATTAATTTATGCAAAGAGGTACAGTCGAGAATTATTCTACGCTATTTAAATGTGTTCAAACGAAGCTCCTCCAACAAGGGTGCATAATTATGATCATCGTATCGCATAGGACGTTGTAACTTATATGCACAAAATCTTAAGAATTTATGCTGCACTCCCTCAATCATTTTGATGTAAATACTTGCCTACCAATGGTGACCAAATTACAGAGGCGTACTCTAACGACGGACGGACAAAAGTAATATAGAGGAAACGAATAGTGTCGATGTTACGAAATTCATTGGAGAAGCGTATTAAGAATCCGAGTATTTCCATTGTGGAATTAGCTACGATTGATATGTTTCGAAAAAAAGTTCATCTTTTCGCCTGCTCACGAACATTCTTCCATGACTATTTTAATCGAATCATCGTTTCATCGGTCCACAGTATTTTTGACCAGAATGTTAGAGGTTTTAGAATATGTGTATAATAAAAATTCATCATTTTTTTAAATATTCTGCTTATTTAAATATGGTACTTTCCTTGTAGAACGTCCATGTTTTTCGGCTGCGCGTAATAATCGCCGCCTTGTTGTCTGCGTTGACGGTGGGTTCCAATTTTCATCTTCAAGTTGCTCACGAATGGATCTGATAATGAAATATTTACTATTCTTTTATCCATTCGATTATCTGTAATTCGAGGCCGTCCTGATTTGGGGGCAGTTGATACCCTTCAATTTTTCTCGAAAGCCTTAACTATTTTAACCCTTTACACTCATTCATATTACCAGCAACTCGAAGCAATTTCAGTGGAAAGATTATATTCACATATAAGTAAATGATATGCGCATTAAAAGAAAAGTCATTGTTGTATGTTATTGTTTTTTTCATTGATTATGGATACAAATGTTATAATATATAAAAAACAAACAAAAAATTACAAAATTATTACATTTTGTAATCGTCCAAGGTGTGATACCTCTTGAAGCAATCGCCAATATGTAATCTTGGCTTTTCTATACAGGTATCACAAAAATAATGTGTCTGCCGTCTTTCGCCCGGAATTTTTCTATTAGAACACACTACACAATCTTTCTTGGTTCCAGAACGTATGATGTGTAGGTGGTTGTTGAGCCTGCCCTCCGTATTTGGTGTGTAAATGGAGTCTCGAGATGTGCTGTTTTGTCGAAAATTCCCAACCAATTGGTCCACCAACAATTTTACAAACTTCAAATGTGACATTGGTTTTTCATTATTTATTTTTTTTAACAGAAGTGTACAATATGTATGAGTTTACTATACACATTTCTGTGGTTGTATAACACTTGATAATAAGTTAAATACCAATATATTTTATAACAATAACTATAAACAGAGGTAAAAAGGAATAATGATAATTTGATCAACGCTCTCTAAATATATCTCCCAATAAATTCTCACGTACTCACTGATATCAATAACAACGCGCTTCACCTGTTTTTCCCCCAGTTACCCTGTATGATCCGCTCGTTTACCAAATCTCGAGACGATTCGGCATACTCACTACATTCACGCCATCACTCACATCTTATTATTAAACCAATTCCACAATTTCCATCCCCCTGAAAAATAGTTTTCTCCACCATTTCAGGGATTTTCTTAAAAAACAATATGTTGCAGCATATTGGTCGGCCCGATCTACTCCACGCATATTCTTTGTATAATCAATAACAATTTTAGGTTTTTGTATACTGACTAATTCACCACCACGTACTCTTCTATCAATAGTATCGTACTCCGATATCAAACCCGCTTCATTATAGGTACTTAACAAAGTTACAGTCCTTTTGTCCTTCCATGCGAGGACTAGGGTTTTGCCTTTTCTGTGGGCCACTGTTTTTCTGCCCCTTACAAATCTCGGTTTTTTTATTACCATTGGTAAATATTTCCTATTTGTTTTTATTGTGCCGGTAAGGAAACAATTCATCTTTAGCAGTTCTTCAGCAAGGGGTATACTTGTATAATACCTGTCGGTATACATGTGATAACCTTTAGCATGAGGAACATTGTCCAATAGTTTTCTATACAGGTCTAAGGGAATTCTGGAACTGACAGGCAGATCAGGTCTTATCAGATTTTCAGAAGTAATACTGCCGTAATGAGGCAAAACCGAATAAACATAACCGGTATTTGAGTCAGCCAGAACGTAAATTCTGATTCCCCATTTAGTGGGTTTAGCTGGGTTATATGTCATAAAACATATTTTCCCCTTGAATTTTATAATGGATTCATCAACGCAAATCGACTTATAAGGTATAAAATGTTCGGAAAATTTTGAGTTGATGTATTGTAAAAAGCTATTAGCCTTTTGAATGCGGGGCCTTATACAGGTATTTCTGCCTACTGGTGCATTTTTCTGTAAATGAAGCATCCAGAATATTTGTTGAAATCTGTCTCGGGTAAATATGTCTGAATAGAATGGAATTTTACTGGTGAATTTGGTAGACCAATATTCCTGGAGATTTGCAACCTGCATGGTTCCCATATTCAAGATCACTCCAACGAAGGCCAGAAATTCTTTCCGATTAACATCACTCCATGTATTCCATATTGATCTCTTTGACAATTGCTTTCCTCGCAGTTTTGAATTTGCATAATCATTTGTCTCTTTTATTATGGAATCAATCAATGTATCCGTAAAGTATAATCGAAAAAAATCTAATGGTTCTTTTATATTGTTGGAAATTTGTGGTCCGGCAATTTGGGGTGAAATATCGAAATCCATAGAAGATGGAATATTATCCACTTCCGAAACATCTATCCATTCGTCATTTTCAGTTGAATCTGCTATGTCTTCCTCAATTTCTCCACTATCAATTTCAATTCTTCTAATGGTTCTTTTATATTGTTGGAAATTTGTGGTCCGGCAATTCGGGGTGAAATATCGAAATCTATAGGAGATGGAATATTATCCACTTCCGAAACATCTATCTATTCGTCATTTTCAGTTGAATCTGCTATGTCTTCCTCATTTTCTCCATTTATTGTTACGTTCACTATAAACTTCAAATTCTAATTCATCGTTACTACTTTCAATATCACTGTAATTTTCACAAATTTTTCTTTTATTTGCCATATCGGGGATATAAATTTGAATTCAGAATATAAAAACAACAGATAAACTCGAATCTGATACACTCTACTACTGAATAACAGGACTGACTTAACTCATTTGCATCCAAGTGCGGAATATTCCTCGAGCCGCGACTGTCTGCTGTTATCGAGAGCGTAATGATCCGCGATCCGCGACCGTCTGTTGTCACCAAGAGCGGAATATCCTATACACAATAGTTTTTACGATTTGTCTTTGTCCTTATGTTATGAACTGAAAATTATTTGCATTGTCTCCGTAGCGGAGCCCTCGAGTTTGAAGACAAATTTTAAATGGCTCCGCTCCGGAGCCCTCAAGTGCAAAGGGTTAATGATGGCTGCTGCAGATTTATTAAAAAATTTAGCAATTTGCTTGTACGACTTGTCCTCGTGTTTCATTTTCATGACAATTCTCCGTTCTTTATTTGTCAAATGTTTGTCCTGTGCTGTCCCTGCCGGATGTTGCTGTCGCCACAATTTAACCCTTTGACTACGGCAGACTTTGAGACGTGCCAGCTGTACCATACGGTAGGTTTTCAGTCGCAACCTACACCGAGAACGGCAAAATTTTTCGTTAGACGTGCATTTATGAGAAAGTATGTATATTGAAATAATCGAAACACTGAAAAAAACCAATATTTATTTATTCGTATTCTGTATTAAATTGTTATGGCACATACTAAAAATTTTACATCAACTTTAAGGTTTTTTCCACAATATATCTAATAATATAGTAAAGAGTCTAGATAAATACATAATCCTACATCACATTTCTTGCATTCGTAATGCGTCTCCCTTCTTCTGTCTTGTTTCCTACACACTATACATTTGCGCCTTGCGTTTTTTCGAATTCACGAACTTTGTGGAAGCCAAAATATTGGTCCTTAGAGCCGGCTTGTGTGAACTGTGGACAGTGCCAGTCAAAGTTATTGGACTGTGATAATTAACGATCATTATCAACTTTTGCAACTTGGGATTCATCCTACTGGCGGTTGTATACATCTGAGACTCTAGTCCCTGACGTACTTCCGGAAGTACCAACCATTCACACCAACGACACAGCTTCTATACCAGGATGACTACAACCAACGGGAAAGTAGCAAGAACGCGGTTGCTGA